ATTCATAGAGGTTTAGAACAATTTGAGGGTAAGTATATGATGACAGTATCTTCATTTTTGGGTGAATATCCTTTTAAGGTCTCATCATATAGGCTAAGGATCTCATATAGCCTAACACACGCTTTATCTTTAACTATTATCATTAATTTAAGACACAAATAACTGTGTTTACGAGAATACTCGCAAAGATGGGCATTTTGACACATAACTATGTGTATTTGACCGTTTAAGCACAAGGAGCGAAAGTTAAGTCAGTAATACGAGCAGGTGCGTGCTGCGCGTATCAGGTAGAAAACGTTTTAACGCACGCATTTACAAATCTGTGTGGACGATGACACTGTTTTTATCTGCTCCATGTGCCTGGTTCCCTTGCTGTTCCAGCAACTTCCACTCCATGATCAGCTTTAGTAAAATAACCTGATAGCTGGGGAATTTACTAAGTCATGTTTTGAGCCCCTCTCTCTTTTAGAATTGCTGACATTTTTACTTATTGAATGTTGTTCTTTGCGTGACCATTTCCAGATTACTCAAGAACAAAGTGAAGAGAGGTGAATGCAGACATACTGAGCAGCAATCACCTGATAAATATGTGTGCATATCGTTCAAAAGTCAAATATAGAATAAATGCATTTGATTGGTAAACCAAATTCAGACTTTACGTTTCAATCTCAAATGGTAATGCATGGAATTTACCGAAAAGCTCAACTAAATAACAGCGCTAATAAGTGGGGGGCGTGGTGGCTTTGGCGATCGGCGCTCCAGTCAATCTACCCCACAGCCAATCACGGGCCCCCTCCTTGCTCGGGCCCCGGGGCTTCAGCCCCGCCTAGTACACACACATTATGTACACAAAAACTTTTTGGATGCAGTTAATCGTGATTAATCGTTGCCCAGCACTAGTTAGGAAATTATGATAAATAGTCATAAAAACATACATAATGGGTGTTTTGCCACACAATTCTTTAGAGTAATGATATAAATGGACCCCAGGGATGAAAATCATGATTTATTATATGATCACTTTAAGAATTTATTTTATTTTAGGAAGGATTTTTAAGGACACTTTTGTCTTCAGATTTGATTTACTTATTTGGACTTCAGAGATAGTTACTGTCATGAAGCTGTTACTTATCCATTTGTTACCCACTGTGTTATCTAGTAGTATCCAGTGAGGATGCTGGAGGAAATTTATCGCATGCAGTGTGCGTGTGAGTATGTGATGTTAATGCCCGTGGAGTACTCAAAGCGTGGGCAGATTCTTAGTCCAATAGATGCCTTCAGAGGAGGCACCTCTAATGTGTTATGCCACACACACACACACACACACACACACACACACGAATCTCCTCTGATCCAGCACTGACTCACCCGTCACTTTCCCTGCTTGTCTGGTTCTCTCCGCAGGAACGCATCTTCCTGACGTTGTCCAACTACATATTTACTGCCATCTTTGTGACAGAAATGACAATAAAGGTAGGTGACGGGGTTGGCATTTGTCTCTGTGTGGTGTTGTCTCTGACAGAGGGTAAACTAACAGACTGACTGGGCCAGAATACCAGCCAAAAGCAGACTAACTTCGGTTCTCTGTGGCTTTTTTTTATAGTGCCAATCTCTCTTAGATCAGTGTGGCTAATGGAGTCTGGTGAAAACATTCCTGTCACAGGCTTTTCAGCCTATCTTGCAGCCCTTTTACTTTAAAAAGTCAGTTCAGCCGAAAATAAAATGACCTTCATCTCATTCTAAACCTTTCTTTATTCTGTAGAACACAAATGGAGAAATTTTCAATGCTGTGCTTATCACCATTTTTCATGTAATTACAAGCTTGTGAGCTTAAAAATAGATAAAGGCATCATAAAATGTAATATTCACAGAAAATATTAATATCAGTCCTATCTCTTCTTGACACATTTATGACAGAAGCAGTAACGTCTGATCACTAAACAAATCATTCGGTGGAATCATATCTTATCAATGAATTGCTTAATCCAGTTCACAAATGATTAATTCATCAAAGAAAATTATAAGATGTTTATTTGATTCAGCAGTTTTATTTATTTATTTTTGCTATTTAAGATTTTAAAGTTACCTGTATTCAACTATGTAACATGAATATAATTCAAAGCATTGCTTATAAATGTTAAAAACAGTTGTGCTGCTTAATAGAGAAACAATTATTCATATTTTTTTTCAGAATTCTTTGATGAATATAAATTTCAAAAGCATTTCTTCGAAATAGAATTCAATCATCTGTTTGCAGTGATAAATAGCTCACAGAAAGAAGACTTCAGAAGACTTGCTTTATAGTGCACAAGACATACATGCATATACAGTATATATACTTTTATGATGCTTTTGAGTCAGTTTCATTCATTGCAAAAACAGATCTCTCCTTTTGTGTTTCACAGAATAAAGTAAGTTGTGCAGGTTTGGAACAATGTGAGGGTGAATAAATAATGACAGAATTTTAATTTTGGGTGAATGATCCCTTTAAGGCACTGCTTTCCTTTGACAATTACAAAGTCTAAACAAAGACTACAGCAGCAAAATATAAAAATCACACTCTGACATGTTCAACTGCCGCCAGTCAGCTGAATTAAACATTTGAAGAAATGCAGGTCCTAAATAGAGCCCACTGACATGAAGAGTCTAAGCAAGCCTTGCTCTCTATTTTCCACTCTTCACCACAGCAGTTAATACTAAGTAGGGGCAGATTGTCTGCCAGATATTCAAATGACTGTCGTTGAAATGGAAGAACATGCTGAGGCCTCTCTGGAGAAGACAGAAAAGTTCATAGGTGTCAGTCACAAAGGTCTAGGGTTTCTATTTTGGGGCCTTGCTTTATGGCAGGTCACGCCCACCCAAGAGATTTCAAATGAAAATCATGGCACAGAATAATCGTACTCACTGGAGGTTAATTAACGACGACTGACGAAAACTTTCCAGGTTGGATGAAGATGACAGGGCTGTTGAAACTCCTGGCTTTTGTTGCCTGACATTCCTTTGTTCACTTTGAGGTCTGATCACATTGTGGTTTGATATATTCACCAGCAACATCATTAGGAGCTGCGTATTCATGCTTAGCACTTTTTAGTCAGATGATTCTCACTCCTGGTTTGTTTATCTCAGCTTTTAACATCTACAAAATTAATTTGTCATGAAAGCTACAGTAAACAAAATTCATAATTGTGAAGGATACAGAAAATATGCTTTACAGATGTAATTTCTTAAAGTAGTTCACCCAAAAATGAAAATTTGCTGAAAATTTACTCACCCTCAGGCCATCCACGATGTAGATGAGTTTGTTTCTTCAGAGGAACATATTTAGAGATATTTAGCATTACATCACTTGCTCACCAGTGAATCCTCTGCAGCGAATGGGTGCCGTCAGAATGAGAGCCAAACAGCTGATAAAAACATGACAATAATCCACAAGTAATCCACATGACTGCAGTCCTTCAGTTAACGTCTTGAGAAGTGAACATTTGCCTGCTTGTAGGAAACATATCCATCAAGAAGATTTAACTTCCATCCTTTATTCATAATATTGCTTTAATACAGTCCTAAACAGTTATGATTACCATCAGTGGATTTTGGTGTGAGCGGACAACAGGGCATTATAATGGATTATGGACTTGTATTTTGGCTAGAAGCGATGGTTTAAAGTTAAAATGCCTTAATGATGGATTTGTTTCATACAAACATGCACTGGAGTTGTGTTGATTATTTGTGATGTTTTTATCAGGTGTTTGGACTCTCATTCTGACGGCACCCATTCACTGCAGAGGATCAGTTATTGAGCAAGTACTGTATTGCTATATTTCTCCAGATCTTTTTAGATGAAGAAACAAACTCTATCTAAATCAAATCTAAATTGAGGGTGAGTAAATCTTCAGCAAATATTCATTTTTGGGTGAACTATTTATTTAAAGTTGAACACTTTTATTTTTGCAAAAGTTTTAATTTTGACTATGGTACAATCAGTCCGTCTTCCATTTTTCTGACAAACAGTTCAACCTACAAATGGCTGACTTGGACTAGAATAAAAAGGTTTTATCATGAAAATGTACACAATTTGGCTTTAAGTGAAATTTTATCCAACATTTCCACTTTAAAAACATATCTGTTGTTGTTGTGAAGGTGGTTGCTTTGGGCTGGTGTTTTGGGGAGAATACCTACCTGAAGAGCAGCTGGAACATTCTGGATGGCATGCTGGTGATGATCTCCGTGATTGACATCCTGGTATCCATGATCTCCAACAGCGGCACCAAGATCCTGGGAATGCTTCGGGTGCTGCGTTTACTGAGGACCCTACGGCCGCTCAGGTACACTGATCACAACACAACTCTTCAGACATCCAGTCAGTGTAAATAATAGTAACGATTACATCAAAGCTTTAATGCACAAGTGCACCACCTGCAATGCTGTAGGCTACATACATAAACACTTATATGTACATCTTTGGGTCAGAGTGCTAGATTTGCACATCTTAAATCAGCATCCACTTTCTTACAAGAAGCATAATTAATGTAAAGACAGAAGTCCCACAATTAGCCTCTTCCTCACAGAAGCATCAATTAGCTCCTGATCGATGCAGTATGTAGCGGTGTTTGTGTTTATGCATATGTATGTGTGTGCGCTGTGCACCTTTCCTCCTGCAGAGGGAACTTCCCTACTCTTAAATATTTATGACACATTCAAGCAGAAAATAAAAATCAAATATTCATCTTTCCTGCCCAGTTTCCACACAAAATGCTTACAGTGGTCTTTCACCCCCAGTCGCTCCCTTCTCAAGTACTCCTCAGTTTAGGGTCAACTTCCGTAAGTTCCTTAAACTCCCAAGAGACTTGTATTAAAAATACATCATATTCCGGTAGTTGTGTTTTTACTTGCCTTTCAACTTTGTTGGTGCAACGTTAATGTGCCGTCAACAACATTTCTGAAGAGGAACTGGTGGGAAAATGGGCCGTTTGGATTTGTTTTTGCATTTTATTCATGTTTCTCTGTCAGATACAAGGAACTTTCAATTATTAAATAGCAAAAATCAACAACTTTTTTTTTTTGCTTACATTTGTATTTATCTTATAGTATTTATACTGCATTAATGTAAATTACATACTTTTGCACCTGTGAGCTTCTAAAGAGGAAAAGAAGTTACATTACATTAACTCGATAACATTTCTAAAAGGGAAAGAAAAATGACTATTAGGGTTTGTTATAGAATTTATGTAACTATTCGTTCTGTAAACATACACACTGAACCGAAACACCTATACCAAAAATATTTGATATGGATAGATCTACTGTTGCACTACTGTTTTATATATATATATATATATATATATATAGAGAGAGAGAGAGAGAGAGAGAGAGAGAGAATACAGTATGTAAATATGTGTGTTTGTGTCTATGCATGTATATGTATATATTTTTGTACATGCAGACTAGTAAAGAGAAAAAAGTTGCTGAGGGAAAAAAAGACCATAATTACATTAATTCATTGAGAATTATAAGCAGCCCAGGTATAACCAATCTTGGCTCTGGATCCCCAGCGCCTGGTCTGCTAATTATTGACCTCTGGTGTGGATTATCCCTGCACATACTTACCTTTTCCTGAATCCATGATTTTCTAGTCTTTTTATTAGTATTTTAATTTGTGCTGATAAAGCATGCTTGTTTGCTGAACTGCATCGTGCCAAATAGGGATGAGGTTTTTGATATGACGGATAAGTCTTCCAGCAAATCTTTTAAGGCATCCTTCACCAGTTTGCTAAAACAGCTAATATGTGATTCATGTCACTACCCCTGAGCATCACTATTACTCCACTGCTACTGAATAGTGCATAGAGATCCAAGCATACCCTTATAGATAATGAATAGTATGTGGAACAAATCTTGAATTCCTTTTTATGATTTTATTCTGATGAAGTATTGAAGTTTATCCACTAGTGGCATAGTTACATAAGGTGAATTAACCTTTAAACAGTCTGTGTGATAAGGTCCTATTATAACTAATGACAGTTGCTTCGGTTGACTGTCAGAAAATGTAGAGCACTCGGAGAGAAAAAATGCCCTGTAAATTAAACATGAAGCGTCTGTGTTTTCACCTCGAGCTCCTCTGCGTGAACATTTTAAAGATTCTCAAACAGAGTTTCTTCAACTGCCAGAACGCTCTGCTTCAGAGAACTTTACTGTGTGTATCTGCCTCTGCACCACCGAACACCTTTTGAAAGTTTTACTTCTTGATCCTTCCCTCGACAGACTTTATATTAATGCACCTCGTTACCAGAGTTGCCCATTTACCACACCTTGTTACAGCACAGTAGGGCTGTTGCAGACAGAAACAATACTGTACTACATAGATGTTTCTTGTCAGCTTGATTTTTGAGTGGACTTTGCTGTTCCGATGGGCATGAATGGTATATGAGTGGAACACTCACATGGGCCGTGAGCGACTGAGCGGCGGTTGCGTCTCGTCTCGTTTTCGTCACGTGATAAAGGTTCGTTGACGACGATATTTAGTCATAATTTTCGTTGACGAAAGCAACACTACCTCTGTGTGAAGTCCAAGATGAAATCAAAAGAAAGACAAAAACAGCTGTAAAAAGTCTCCACAGCGTGGGCTCGGCTACTCCGGCAAAAGTGAATTCAGGGAGGGGTGGGTAATCCAGACCACATGTGTATCTGGACCACTCTGTGCAGTGAGTTTAAAGGGACAGTTCACCCGCAAATTAAAAATTCTGCTATTGTCTGCTCACCCTCATGCATTTTGAATCTGAAATGACTTTCTTCTTTTATTTTAGCAAGGAGCCCGAGCTGCTCTTTTCCATAAATTCAAAGTAAATGCTACCATGGCTGTCAAGCAAGACTATAATAATTTAAATAATTGTTACTATTATTAATAGTCCATGTCCAATGTATTCACGCATTTTTTATTTTATTTTATTTTACCAAGGCTGCATTTATTTGTTTAAAATACTATAAAAAGTATAATATTGTGAAATAATATTACAATTTAAAGAAAGTTTTATGTTTTCATATATTTTAAAATGGAAGTTATTCTTGTGATGGCAAGGAATTTCTTATGTTGAAATCTGCTTGGAAACTGTATTACTTTTTGCATTATTATTATTATTATTAATAATATTATTGTTATTGTTTTATTTTTTAATTATTTGATGGAATAGAAGGTTTAAAAGAATAGCATTATTTGAAATAGGTTTTTAAAATGTATTTATTTTTAGGATTTTTTATCCTAAAAAAAAGTTTATCCTAAAAAAAGTTTTTTTATGCTTTTATGGAGCTTTTTGATATTTGACAGCCTCTATTCCCCACTCGTTTTCATTATATGGACAAGAGCAGCGTAAACATTCTGCAAAACGTCTCATTTTGTCATACATATTTGGAATGACAGGAGCATAAGCAAATAATAACAGAATTAAAATTCCCTCTGAGAGGGGTTGACACTGTAAGCCCATTAATTCATTTGAAAATCTGTGTTGGACAGTTAAAGTCTGTGTACTCCTTATCAAGTATTAATGGCATTGTTACAGAGATGTGTCTCTTTCCGTCTTTAGACAGGATGATTTATGCACTGTGTTAAGGGGGGATGTGCACACTCTGTATATTCATCAACTCTTTGACCCCCAGGTTAAACCCCCCCACTGTATGTTGCACTGCACATCACCCTCGCGGATCTAAATTAATCTCAAAAGCGCATAAAGAACCATCCATCCTCTACTGTCTGCCTGAGCCCCAGAGGAACAGACCCTCCCTTAAACACCTGACGCCAGCATCTATCTACTCATATCTACCATTCAGTCTCCTGCTTGACCTCTTCGCAATGCAAATAACCTGACATAATGTACCGCTTTATTATTGTTTGTGCTCATTAATTCTCACGCTAATTACAGTTCTGCTTCTTTCACAGTGCCTGTCCACTCTAAGGCATTTGTTAAGCTAATCTAACCATGCTTGACTTGAAGCAAGTTAGTTTTTCTACATTGTCTATTTGCTGTAATTAGAGGGACAAAGAATTGCAGCAAAAGACAATAAGGACAGATTGGCTCTTTCAGATTTCATCTGTAACTGATTGATTTCGTTTACGTAGCATCTCTGCAGATGTCCCTTATGTCTTATTGTTTTTAGATAATTGCTTGTGTACTGGATTATGTGAGGGTGCTAGGATGGAGATAGAGAGAATGAGTTCAGTCATTATTTCTTCACTGGTGCATTAAAACAACACCAGGATGAATAAGTAATGACTGATTTTTTTAGGTGAACAATCCTTTTAATATCTCCTTTTTTGGTCTGCAGAAGAAAGAAAGTCATACAGGTTTGGAACGAATATGAGAGTGAGTAAATAATGAGAAAATTTGCATTACATCTGCTTTTATGCTGCTATTTTTACTCCCGTCTTTTTTATAGTTTTTTTTTTTTGTCCTTTGACGGATGTCCTCAGATTGTGTGCTTGCTGTGTGTGTGTGTGTGTCAGGGACACACAGCTTGAATCCCCCAAACTGACGGTTCCCAGCCCAACTATAGCATCCTTTAATTACAGCCAGGATGAAAATGTGTCTCTGTGTTCTGGGAATAAGAGGCTCCTTCAGTGCTCTAGTTATTGTTCCCTTCTTAATTTATTTATTTATTAAAACCTTTCAGAACACAAAGACTGGATCGGAGCTATGAATATGGGAAATTCAGCTTTTCTGAAGGCTTGCAGAACACAGTAACTATAACACACGTGCTTACAAACCAGAAGAATGCATCAGCATCACATTATAAAAATAGGACCACCATCCTGGTTTCTCACCAACAACAACAAAAAAAAAAAATATATATATATCATGGTATTTACAATAGTACCATTATATTTTATCATACTATGGTAATCATTCCGTACCGTGGCGTATGGTGTTACCATTTGATATTTTCAAAATGCCCTGTTTATTTTTCTCCTACTGCTCTCTTTTAATATGATATAAATAAATGCTAAATTGCACAAAATCCCATATTTACACTTTTATATGTATAAGAACATAAGTTCAATGTGTTCTGGAATGTATTCTACTGTATTGAAAAACATTACTGGCGCAACACTTCAGACAGTAGCGCCCTCTATTGGTCAGGGGTTGAAATCTCATGGTGTTAGACCAGTATTGATAGTATTATTTATATACAATATTTATTGATATTTTGATTTGACTTTTGATTTGACTTTTTAATTTTAGTTTTCATTTTAGTAGTTTTATTTGATTTTTGTTTAGTTTTTTTTATTTTCTATTCAGCTTTTTAGTTCTTAAAACTTTTTTTCATCTATTCATATTTTATTTTAGTTGATATTTCAGTCCAAGCTTTATTTCAACCAAGAAAAACAATTTTTAATTGTTTTAGTTAGTAAACAAGTCATATCATTTCACTAGACTGTCCCTCTCAAATTCAGTCAGAGCGTGGGTCTAGACATATTGATCCTTCTCACCATTTGACATTTGCATCATTGATTTTACGGTTCTGTGGTGAGGAGCCAGAAATCACTGTCACCAGATGAGGACTAATGTGCCTTTTATTCTTTATTTTGAAGGGAGAAACATTTCTGAACTCTTTGTGTGTGTGTGTGTGTGTGTGTGTGTGTAGTATCATAAACATCTTTCAGTATACAATGTTTCTGCACTGCGTCCGGATCCCCTGCTACTGCTTTAGGTCCTCATTGAGTCCCATTACCATCAGTTCAACACAAACCACCACAGATTAAAGCCTATTGCCTTTTACAGCTCCCTTAAAGTATAATTTTACATGTTATGCGTTGTTCTTAAAGACAAACACTTGGTCTTGAATCTGTCTGCACTACTTTTTAATTGTTGGTCTTGCATTAGATGGACATCTTTGACCATTTAAGCACCTTTCATTGGTTTTTCATTGGTCTCGTGCCATGAGTGCAACATTTTTAAGACAGCATGTTAACTTTAAATAAGCCAGACTTTTAAAAACACATGCTTTCTGTCCCCTTTTAGTTGTTTTTTAACAAAAGAACACACCCTGGCCTCTAAAGCAGCTGAATTATTGTTGCAGCTGTGTGTTTGTTACATATGTTATTGTGTGTGTCTTTGTGAGCAGGTGTCTTTGTGTCACTGTTGGTGCCACCCTCCGCAGAGGTTGACAGGTGCGGTTTTGTGCCGGATGTCGTGGCGTTAATAATTAGGCTTCATCTTTATTCCGGCGGTTTAATTAAAACTGTCTCCTTTCTTTGCATCACAGAAAGTTTCCCGACAGCATTGCATTGCGGTTGCTTAGCATAATGGCGAGGGCATGAAATGTTTGCTGGTAATTGACATGCTCAGTCGTAGAGGAGGTAGTGATTGCAGCAATGATGGAATGCAAAAAGTAGAGAAAGCTGACTAATGTCAGGTCAGTGAAAGCATGGGAAACATTTATTCACTCGCAGGCTCTGGCCAGGCAAGGACTGAGGAGTTTAAGGACACTTTCTGAATTTACAACTATGCAGCTCATCATTCAAATGCGCATAGTTAGGATAGTAAAATAAATTGGCTTATCAGGTTTTAAAAGAAAGGAGAAAATTCTTCCCATGTATTTTATTATTAGTCAAAGATAGTGTCTAATTCAGATTTTTTCCCAAATTCATCTGTCGCAAAGCTATTCAGAAAAACGATGAAGCCATTTGAAATTTAAAAGACATTTAACTCTTTGCATTGATAAATATTAGTGTTGTCAATCAATGTTAGTGTGTAAATGCTTTATTTTGACAGCCCTAAATATACAAATCAAATTATTTATTGTTATTAATATAAATTAGGACTGTCAAACGATTTATCGTGATTAATCGCATCCAAAATAAAAGTTTGTTTACATAATCTATTTGTGTGTACTGTGTGTATTATGTATATATACTGTAAATACACACTCATACATATATATATTAAAAATATTTATATGTTTATATTTAGATGCATGTATAAATATAAAATTGTCCTTAATGTGTGTGTGTGTGTGTGTGTGTGTGCGCGCGTGCGTGTATTTATATATACATTATAAATATACACAGCCCTTTAACAGCCCTAAAATATAGTTATGTAACGCGATAATAATATACAAAATAAGTAATTTTGTAAAATGTTTATTTGTTTTTCCTGAGAAAGTATTTTCTGTGTTGAGTTGCCTCTTGATTTCCAAATGGAAAATCATGGTCCTGAAGCAAAAACCAGCTGAGAACCTCCAGGCAAGTTAAACATCTGTTCTCTTGTTGGATTTTCAGAGTGATCAGCAGAGCTCCAGGACTGAAGCTGGTTGTTGAGACACTGATGTCATCCCTCAAGCCTATCGGGAACATTGTCGTCATCTGCTGTGCCTTTTTCATTATTTTTGGCATCTTGGGAGTTCAGGTAAGTACAAAACATCATAACCCTGCAGAAATCACAAGTGTAAACCAGTTTAAAATGGTTTTCTGATGGTAAAATGGGTCGTTTGAGAGAGGCATTGAGCACTTTTCAGCTTGGTCAGCATGGTAGGCCATACCAGTTTAGGCCAGTTTTAGCTACATTTTTTAGTAGGGAAGTTAGAACTGCTTTCTTACAGTTATATAGTTGATATAGCCTAATACTTCTTGCTTAGATCAGACTATTAAAGTAAAAGCCAGTCTTAACTTTAGGGATTAATTGTAGTAATTCCTTCTAAGAAACCATCATATATAAAGTAACATAACATTTGACAGCTCTGTGTGTTTAATCCACAAGATTGCCTTTAAGACTTTTAGTGAGAGAGAAATAGGTAGTACACAGAACGAATGCATGATTTTCTGTCATTTCTGTAAATTTGAAACATACTCTTCCTGCCCACAGCTGAATAATTTGACTATGATTAAAATGCTCTGTTTTCCATACTTTCACAATTTACATAAGTCCGTAGGGGAACGCCGATGTAATTTATCTTCTATTCTTCCAGGAAAAGATGCATTTGCTCTTTGTGCCTGTACGATGTGTCATGTGTAACATTGACTTTGTCCTTGTATGGTTTTCACTAAGCAGTCATACTGGACTTTGTGTGTTACAGTGCAGCAGCGCATTAGATTAGAACGGCGATTAACTTACCTGTACAATAAGCGGTTTAAAACGTAATATAATCACACATGTCTTTTTAGAGAGCTTTCAGAGTATGCATTTATTTGTCATTTGAACTGTTTGGAAACGGAGCGTAAATGTGGAATTCCTTCAAAGATTTCTTATCCTGTTGCGCCCTCTATAGGACCAGCGACTAGTCAACGTCAAGCTTAAAGCGTCATGGCAGAGCATTGAAGTCGATTAGTCTGTGCAACCCCTACTGGACTTTCAATAATGGAGACATAACCATCTTGTATGAAGTTGTAACATGTATTTTTAAATAATTAATATAATTAGTAGTTAATGTGCAGTTCTGGTAATATGGACATTTTTATATAATTGAAACTTTGAATTTCACAACCTCTTCTTAAAGTGAAAGTGACGTGACATGTGGCCAAGTATGGTGGCCACATACTCGGAATTAGTGCTCTGCATTTATCCCATCCAAAGTGCACACACACAGCAGTGAACACACACACACCTGGAGCAGTGGGCAGCCATTTTTTTTGCTGCGGCGCCCGGGGAGCAGTTGGGGGTTCGGTGCCTTGCTCAAGGGCACCTCAGTCATGGTATTGAAGGTGGGAGAGAGCGCTGTACATTCACTCCCCCCACCTACAATCCCTGCCGGTACGAGACTCGAACCCACGACCTTTGGGTTACGAGTCCGACTCTCTAACCATTAGGCCACGACTTCCCCAATATATATCCAATATGTATGTATTTCTGTTTATTTTCTCAAGACACATGATAACTATCGTAGTGGTTGAAATGTGTGGTATTCCAAAAGATCTCTCGCAGAGAAAAGGAAGGTTGGTTGTGAGCTGATAAATTTGCTTTTTCCTCACAGCTCTTCAAAGGAAAGTTCTTTGTGTGTCAGGGGGAGGATACTAGGAACATCACCAACAAGTCTGATTGCCTCCAGGCTAACTACAAATGGCTCAGGCACAAGTACAACTTTGATAACCTTGGGCAGGTATGCGTTTATCCTGGCAGTGGTTACACAAACATTCATGCTCTGTCTCAAGATGCTCTTTTAGACGTACCTACAAGCGACTGGTAATGCCACTTTCAATTTGAAAAGAATCCGTTATGGTCTCATCCCATTTTCAACAAAGTCAAATGTAGCCACTGAAGTCAAAGATTTATTTTAACCTTTTTTTATCATCTCTCACCTCCCTCAGGCTCTCATGTCCCTTTTTGTTCTGGCTTCCAAAGACGGTTGGGTGGACATAATGTACGACGGACTGGATGCTGTTGGTGTCGATCAGCAGGTATTGACTGTATCAGAAGCTCCTATTACCTGCATAACATTTTATTGTAATAATATTTATACAGATTTTCATGCTTGTGGATTCACTGTGGACAGTGTGGCAACCTTGTTTAAGTGGGTCACTGTGAATGTCATTCGCATTCTCTGATAGCCGCAAACTCTGATTGGACAACTCTATGAACTGAATCAGAGCTGAAAAATCATTGGTCAGTATTCCTGTACTGTCTTCAAAGAACTGCTTTTCCATTCATCAGTTCTTCTGTAAAGCTCCTTACTGTCCATTCAACAGATCTCTTTGAAGTGACTTATTTTACACTCTTCTTCCAAATGTCTATTTTTTTTAATACAGTTTGAATTTTTGAATAATTTTGATTTAATTTTTGAGTAATAAAATATAGGATTTTTTGCCTGAAAAGGAAGTCTCCATGCCTCGTCTGGCTGTAGGCTCCTGAAATTATTCTGCTCTATTTGAACAGAGCCCAGCCCTTGTCCTAGCCAAGGCCTTTATGTGTTTGAATTGGAACAGATATCTCTTCTTCAAATTCATGCCGTGTGGCCTGTGCCTCACCATTGCACACAGAACGCTTAATCTAGCCTAGAGGCAGGCATCTTTCGGGTGCCCAGTAGGACAGACCTTTGAACTGAAATGTTATTGATGTCCCAATTCTCCAGCATCATCATCTTGAACATGGCTGTAACTTACTCCTGGGGACCTGACTCAGCAACTGATATATTGGTTTTTACAAAGAGCATTTTTTTTGGTATTATATTATATTATATTATTTTTTTAAATAATATATATATATATATATATGTATGTATATGTGTGTATGTATATATATATATATATATATATATATATATAGCTCTGACCCCTGTCGTTAAACATCAGAACTGCAATATTACCCAATAAATTAATTACATGAGTATAAACAAACTATAATTCAATTATTTTAAGAAAATCAAAAAAGTCTGTATTCTACCTATATAAAATTGAAATAAAATAATGAAACTAAATAAAAAGAACTTAAAAATGACAAAAGCACATAAGAAAATTACTAAAACTTTCAAATTAAAATGAAAACTTAAATATAAAAATAAAAGGTCATTGAAAATATTAATAAATACTATAATAGTACATAATTGGTAATCGAATCGAAAGCTTGTGAATGAGAATCGAATCGAATCGTGAAATTTGTGTCAAAACCCAGCCCTATATATATATATATATATATATATATATATATATATGTATATATGTGTGTGTGTGCGTGTGTAATGGCTGTTAACCTCCGACCCAGTAATTGGTATGTTGGTTTGTATAAAGAACATTTTTTAATATTCTAATTAAATAAATCAAATCTGTCGCTACAAATAAAATTATAATTAGCCTAAGCATTAATGTGTGTACATTAGTGTGCACTCTGTACATTAATCCGTGTTGTGTTTTTCTGTGTTGTAGCCCATCATGAATTACAACCCATGGATGCTGCTCTATTTCATCTCCTTCTTGCTGATCGTGGCTTTCTTCGTGCTCAACATGTTCGTCGGCGTGGTGGTCGAGAACTTTCACAAGTGCCGGCGGCACCAGGAGGCCGAAGAAGCCAAACTGCGCGAGGAGAAGCGCCTTAAACGCATGGAGAAAAAAAGAAGGAGTAAGGAGAAGGAGCTAGCTGGTCGGTAGCCTTTCCACACCTTTCTGAGTCCTGCTTGATCATTTTGATTTGACCGCGTGCTAAATTAGATGCTAATTAGTGACTGGCGTATGAGGAATGAGATGCTCTGGCCCATAATTAGCTAGGAATCTGCCCCTCCCCGGCTTGCCCCACTTTTGCCTGGGAACGTCTCTAGAGCATGTCCCATGGCTTGCATGGTGATCTGCTTACTGAGAGAGCAGGGTGTGCGGTGGACCCCTGCCCCAGGGCTCTGCCCACCCTCCTCCTCTCATGCATGTAGGGCAGTGCAGTCTGAGAAGTAAATAAAAATCTTGTCCCACTCAGATTGGTTACATCCATCAGCTGCCTGCTCCGAGGCTACCCAGGATGCACGGCGTGGTATTAATGACCTTCTCTTTTGGTTCCACTGCCTGCTATTTTCAACACAAGCCGTTAGCATTAAAACAACATCATTGAGAATCTCCGTGTGGATGCTAGACCTTGTTTGGACATTGGCTTGGACATTGGTCCAGCATGTTTGATCTTTACAGTTAAAAATGGGAATTTCAGTTTTTTTAAGCCCTTGAGAAATACAGATGTAAATAGGTGATCTATAAACTATAACATTTGAGTCAGACCACGAGATCAGAGACTAAAACTCATGCAAGGCAAACAAAGCTAGTCTCATTATTGGTACTTTATCATCTTATCTCAGTTCAAAGGTCAAATCTAGTCTTCTCTAAATGTACTGTCACACCATAGTTTCTCATGAATATCTATATTTGATTTGCGCATTAGCTGATTAGTGTGTCCTTTGTTTTATAGCGCTTTATCACGCCATCAGTTCTAGCTGGAGAGGAAAAGTTGCTTTATTTTACCTCGCTTCATCTTTTCTTTTTGCTACCGATCTAATTTTCCGTAGGTGTGAATGTTTGACGGGATGTGTCAGGTTTCCGGGGTGGAAATGGGATTAAACCGTATGTCAGCTTTGCATGGCCTGATTAATATTTTGAAACTTCTTTTTGAACGTAATATCTAAATATCCTGAGGTAACTTTGTGGACTTTTGCTATAAAAAGTTGAGCGGAAAAGTTGTGGTTCCTTTCAGGTGAACTTGTTGGTATCATTAACTGAAAAAGTGAAAAGTTATTTGTTTGCCAGACATTTCCATCCACAAAGTATTTCAAGAACAACAATCTAGGACTAATAATGTAGGGCTCGAACAGCCGGGATAAATAGATTTAGTATTAGTGTTTTACACATAACAACAGGGTTATTTTGGACTCAGAATAATTGGAACGCCCTGGCATATTCTCCCAGAAAATCCATCCTATTTCAGCTCCTTTGACGGTTTCTTTGCTTGCCCTACCTGATTAACATGGTTTCATTCTTCTAGATGTAATGCTGACCGGTGTCAGTTGGTCCAGTCCCGATCACACACAAGGTACAGATTGCTTATGGCATGTCTATGTGTTCACCGTGGTGGTGGTTTTGGGACGAGGGTGGGAGAGGGACACCGGGTGGGAAGGCACCATCAGCGCCATGTTCTCACCTCATCAGATCTGATCTGACCACACAAGAATTGTCTGTGGAAGTGTGTATGTCCGGTTTTTCCACACCTCATCACCAGCTCCAGCCAGCCCAGCCTCAAGCTCACACAGGGGATGGATAGAGAGAGAAAAGGAGAGAAAAACCGCAAATGTCATTTTTAATATGGTTCTAGTTCTTGATAAATTCACCTCAGCCTGCAGTAAATGCTCTGGTGGTATCACAGGTCCGATCTCTCAATGTTGCCCCCAATGTGACGCACTGTGGCTGACTGTTCGAAGGGAAGAGTATCGCTGTTAATGTCTTTAGCTTTCATTGATCTGTCTGCTTCAGAGTTTTCTCATCGGTTTGGTGTTGTGGCGTAGTGATTCACTTCGTTTTGTGATGTTGCCCCATAACGCTGTTTTCAAAGTTACTGACATGCTAAACACAACACCACAACACACCTTGCTGTTGTTCAGAGGCTGCATGACGTGTTAATACTCATTTGTGACTTACGTGAGTGAAATGTTTGTATGGCACACTTGTTCCACTTTGACTTAAGGAAATTTTGCTATAATGGGCTGCTTTATGTGATTGCATTTGATACAGTAATTTGAGTACAGCTGGCTTGTTTTGGATATAAGAGGGTATAATACAAGATTTGTTTTGGTACAATACTGAAGTATTGGAATGTATAAGCTAGGGCTGCAACTAACAACTATTTTGATTATTTATGATTGAGCAAATATGGTCAAAAAAAGTTTATAATATAGTTGTTGTTGTTTTTTTTAATAAAATTGTTTTAATTCATTACGCCTGCTTTTCTCCTTTTTCACTTTTGTAGCATTTCATGTTTCAATTACAGACAATTTGAAACCTAAATTTGATGTCTGTCATGAAAATGTAACTAATAGTGACACATGAACACATGCTCACTGTTAGGGCTTGCTGTTTTGCATAACAGAAGTACTCACATTATAACAGTATATCAGTAAATTGTACAAGACCATTCAAAACTTTGATCGCAATTGATCAAAAGCAACATTAAAGTTTATAATGATACAAGAAAATGCTGTTTAGATGTTATCAGTTAAATGTTGCAGCCCTAGTATTAGCCATATAAAACCTGAATAAAATGGAATTTTATTTTATTTATTATTTATTTATATATATTTCTCGGGTCCTCTCCCCTCCCAAAGTTTGATCTGCTGTACAGAAACAAACGCCTATGACAGTTCTTTTTTTTTTTTATTAAAAAAATAAATAAAAATTGGCAGTTATATAACACAAAAAGCGGAATTTTTTTGTGCATAGAACATGTTTACCCGTGTTGTTCTCAGTGTAGCTGAGAGTCTCTTATCTCTTCCCTTCTGTCTGTGTTCTCTGTGAACAAGAGCTCCCTCATGAACCCCTTTTCTTTTCTCCTCTCTGCCTCTCTTTCTTCCTACTCTCTCTTTCCCTCTCTTTCCAACTTTCTTTTGTCTCTCTTTGCCCCCATTCCCCTAATGTTCTTGCAAAATATCTATCTTTCCTCTTTCTCAATTATGCATTTTAAAACCCTTTAATTTTTTTATTTTTTTTTATCACCAGTGGTTTTGGAGACTCCATAAAAAACTACTGATGTGATCATTATTATACATTTGCCCATAGTAATGTGTAAAAATAGAGTATTGTAGACATGAACATCTCTTTTATGTTGAAAATTTGCATACACAGCTACGCTAATAAACATAGTAATGAATCCACACCAGGAGGAGTCAGTATAACGTCCAAGATGAATAAGCGAAAAAGAAAACAAAAACACAGTGAATGCACTTCAAATGTGTTTGGTATATTGTTTATAAAGCTGTATATGCTTATATATTCTAACATGAGAGCTCTACAGATTAGCCTGATAGGTATAACTGTTGATTAGCATATGCTGTCGTGAGTGTATGGATGATCACACTTTTCCACGTTTTAAACACGGTTCACAGTTGCATGGTCAACATTGTTCACACTATGATTGAGTTATGTCATCGCACTTGGGATTAAAAAATGACAGGCTCCATTTTCCTTCCAATTAGAAGACAATGTGTTAATTAGTTGACGATCCAGTTACAGTGAGCCTCAGCATATTTTATAATTCTGTTTTGGGTTTGTGTTTAGGAGAGGTGGGGGTGTTACCCCCCGTCAGTCTGTCTCTCTCGATTAGCTTCTGTTCCCCTCCTGTTGGACTGCTGTCGCTGCTGTATGCTCGCGTGTGGGATCAAAGGGCTGGTTAATCATATCACGCTGCAGTAGGGCTGAAACCATCTGCCTCTCCTCTACCTGTGTCCTCCCCCAGTCACCATTTATTAGCCCTTCTCTGAGGTGCCTCATCAGAAATGTGTCCTGCCAGCAGTTTGCCCGGACACACTGTATTAACAAGGCATATCGTTTGGAGGTGTCCTTGATTATGTAGCATATCTGATTTACAAGTATATGTCCTTTTAGGCTGCAGCGTAGTAATAATTCTTATCCTGCTACAATCGAGGGATGTTTGCATTTTCAATCATCCATTCAAAATCAGGACGGTGCCTCATTGATAAGCATAAACAGAAGCTACAGATGGGTCCTTCTAAAAAGATGTTGACTTTTTGACTTTCGAAACATTGGATTTTTGAATTCAGTTCATTTTTCTCTCAAAAAAAGCTGTCAGTATGTATTTGTTAATATCTTGACTTATTCTTAATTGTAAGAAATTACTTGACTTTTCATATTTATTTTAAAGGGATAGTTTACCCAAAAATGAATATTCTGTCTTTAATCATTCACCCTCATGTCGTTCCAAACCTGTAAGACCTTTGTTCATCTTCAGAACACAAATTAAGATATTTTTAATGCAATACAAGAGTTGCTGCATAGACAGCAACGCAACTGACACGTTCAAGGCCCAGAAAGGTAGCAAGGACATCGTTAAAATAGCCCATGTGACATCAGTGGTTCAACTGTAATGTTATGATGCTACAAGAATACTTTTTAGTGTGCAAAGAAAACAAAATAATGACTTTATTCAACAATTTTTATTCTTCTGTGTCAGACTTAGATACACATTCATGAGAGTACCCCGTTTTAATAATAAATATTTTACATGAAAATGAATAATAATTATATAATATTAATAATTTTATAAAAATTATTTAATAATTAATAATTTAAAGGTAAATTACCTTTTCCTGTGTGATTGGAAAAATTACTAAATGCTGAAGTATGGATTCTTCTTACTCTTTACTTTTAAATATTTAATTCAGTTTATTTGCATAGTGCTTTGTACAATGCATATTTTTCCAAAGAAGCTTTACAGAAAATAGAAAAATAAATAAGATAAAGGGGGAAAAAAGCAGTGCTAGACAACCCCCCATTGAGCAAGCCAAAGGCAAGAGTGGCAAGGAAAAACTTAGGATTTCGCCATAGGATTTCAAGTATAAAAATTACTTGAAATAAGAAATAATCTTTTTTAAATATTTGTAT